CAGTGACGTAGCTTGGATAGCTAAAGTAAATGTGAGATACTACTTACAATTAGTAGTTTCAGTTGCTGAGTAACATTCAGGTGAAGATAAACCGGAGGGCAGTATATTCTACTAAGTTCTGTGCTGTAATCTTGAGTTACGTTTAATACGTTTCAATGCGATCGATGTTTCGATTATAGCTCCATATTGTCGTTAGTCATATTGAAGCTTCTTCTCCTAATTACCCTTCTTCCCAGTTAAACTTAAACTAAAGCCAAACTATAGACGTTGAAACATGCTGCGATGCATGCATCACTGATGCAAGCACCACTGAGAAGCAAGGAATCACTGATGCAGGAATAGACTTCTAGCATTAGCTGGAAGACGAACCGACATCTTAAAACACATGTTCCAACGTTCGCATCGCACGGGAAACTGAAGAATCGATGTGTGGAGACAAGCTGACTCTGATGCAGGCTTCATGAAATCTAGGAGTCGATGCATGCATTGCAGCATGTTTCAACGTCTATAGCCTTAAGGGTTACGTGCGTAAATAGGCATAATAATTTTTAGTTTATCTACTTTTATTGCTTGGTATTTTTTCGCAGTTGCGTCAAGAAAGCTCTGTCGCGCCAACGTGACACGGTCCAACGCGATTATCTTTTCGTACATTTGAAGAAACTTGTACAAATAAGGATACTATAACTATAAATTTCAACTTTAAATTAATAATATCTTCTTCGAAATATATTATTATAATAGTACTTTATTACAATAGTACTTAAAAATAACAATATTGTAAATAAGGACAATATTCTAAAATTTTCAACGGCGCAGTTTCACCAACCAGACCAGTTTCAAACTGAATGTTTCACCTTTTTCCAACTTTTATTCCAATTATTGCGGAAAAAAGGCGGCGGCGCGCGTAACGGCGCGCAATCGCGGCCGCAATAATTGACACAGCCGCGTAACGCGACGGCAACAGTCGTGGCACCGCGAGGATTATTATTATTCATGGCGCGGCTCGTGTGCCGCGTTCATTGGGACATAGATATGCGATAACGCGGCGAAATAATTAGCCGTTGAATTATTCGTTCCGCGCGGAATATTCATTCATTCGCGCGCGGCCGAATCGTTTCAGGTGCAACGAGTACTGCCACCGGCTGGCTGCTGCCGCGTTGCGAATAAACAGGACCAGTTCTTCGACGCAGACAGAGATTTAGTTGGAAGCTCGGCGAAGCTGGCGAAAGACTCGATCGTCTCCTCGCGACGCGTAAACGCACTGAAACGGGACGGAAGGACGCGCGTTCGGCAAGCCGTGAAAATATGGATGGCGAAGCCGTACAGCCGCTGAAACTGGTGTAATTAAACTCAGCAGTTGCACCGTCTTCACCACCAGTGCCGGTGGCAGTAATGTCAGTCTCGTAGAGAAATTAACGAACACAAAGCCTATCGCATTTCGCGGAGTCTCGCCTCCCTTTCAAGGCACTAAGGTTCCTTCCAGCCAGCACGAACGAGGTCTTTGGGGAGAGGGATCGAGCTGAACGGATACTTTCTTCGCTTGACAGATATATCGGTAGCTAACTGGATTTTCGTATCAACCTATCGAGGATCGAACGATAGTTTATCGTAATGGTGTAAGCAATTTCTTAAAATCTAATGAAATTGTGAGATTTAAATGGAAGAAACGGTATTGATAAATTTATGTATATTAATTCATTATTTTATGTGGTAATTTACGCGTATTTAAATGTAGAATATATTTTTGATATATATATATATAGAATACAGATGTTGGTGTAAATATAGGGATTGAGGAGTATTCATCCATTACTTTATTTAATAATTTAGTTTACGCGTATTTAAATATAGGATATATTTTTGATATAAAATATATAGATAGATAGATAGATATATAGATATAGATAGAATATAGACATAAATATAGAATACAGATGTAGATGGAGAATATAGATATAGAATATATGTTTCGTTCAAAGAATAAATCTAACCTGTTCTATCGTAAGGCAGGTTGTTCTTCTCAGTCATCCATTTCCTTCATGAAAAAATGGCGCAATTTAGATAACGAGTAATAAACGGGTAATGAAAATGCAAGAATTTTTCGATAGAGGAAACGGAGAGCAGAGAGATAAATGGCTCGGACTCGGTTCGCGTTACGGTTTAAACAATATGAAAAGAATTGAAAATTCGCCACGAGCCATTTACGATGCAAACGATAAATTAATGGTAAATTGAAACTTCTCAGTTATATTGAATAATGGATGGATAACTCTAGCACAGTTTACGTTACCGTTTCTGCCTAATTCTGATGTAGGAATTCGTGCTTGTTCATTTGTACTTATACCGTTTAGTATAAAATAGTAAAAAAAAAAGCAGAACATTATTGCAACGCTACTACTAAAAATCAAGTACCTGTAATGTTGCTTCTAATTGAAACATTCGACGACGACAAGAAAAAAATGTGAGTAGGTTTTAATATTCATTACGTGAGATATTTTCGCAACGAACCGCACGATCGAGTTATTAAGCCATTAGATAATACACTTATCAGGACAAAGACTTCGTGGAAATAATTTAATTCAATAAACGCAATTTAGTGCGAATATTCCGCGATCCACCAGTGCGAAATAACCGAGGGAATAAAATTACCGGTGCCGCAGCGACTCATCGACGAGACCGGAATTAAGTGGAATCTCGGAAAACATTTAACAAACGCTAATTTGCCGCCTAATGAATGTTTCGGCCGCCGTTTAATCCCCGGACAAAGGGACCGGCTCCGTTATTTTGTCGGGCCACGTTAAATACCGAAATAAACGATAATCCTAGTCTGAACCTATGACAACGAGGGTGAGGGTGTGCGAGTATTGATTTTAGCAG